TTTACACGAGCAGAGAAGAGATAGCCTGCATTGTTACTCCTATCTTTCCAACTATTCTACACCCATGCTTACTCTTAAGCATCCGTAAGACAAGCTATAGGATTACACAACCAATCTGAAAGATAAAAGTGACAACCAGCTATTCTAGATTTAATCCAAAAAAAAGACCTTAATTGTATTAATTCCAAGAGCTTACCCATGTTTGTTTCCTGGCCTTGAAATACCTTTCTATTCCGCACAAGCCATATTGACCAGATCACTGCACTCCAAATGCAATCCCATCCATCTTTGAGCCGGTTATCATCTGTCCATGCATGAAGGTGTTCAAAAGCATTCCAGCAATCTGACTCCAACCTTATAGAAATTCCCCACCATTTAGCACACTCCTTCCAGGTCCACTTCGCTACTTTACATCTCAAAAACAGGTGGGCAGAGTCTTCTACTTCCTCCTCACAAAGTCTACATTTCCCATCATCCATAACACCGTCAATTCCTCTTTTCAGCAAGTTCTTTTTGGTTGGAATTTTATCAAGCACCACTCTCCAATTAAATGCTGCAATTTTGCTTGGAATATTGATATTCCATATTCTTTTGAAAAATTTTTCATTTGGATTCTGCTGGGTATTTGACAACAGTGAGTATGCTGAGGAAGATGAGTATGCTGAGGTGTTAATAATTAATATCGGAATTGAATGTGGCCAAGGTAAAGTCTGACACGGTCTTTTAAAATACTAAGAGGGAGTGAGGAGGTAGCGACACCATGTTTGCGTCGGAATATTTGAACCATTTTGCAATTTCCTTAAAGATGAAATAATAGTATTTGTCATTCAACTTTAAATTTTTGTGAACTTTGAACCATTAATTTGGGTCATATGATGTAAAAATGGATGTCCTTTTGAACTATCTATATATTGGCTTCGTGTGTTAGCCCATTTTATTTATTTTTTTTGGTATTAATTCTTTAGTATTCGTAAATCACATTCGATTTTAATTAATTTAAAATTAAATTACATTGAACTTCACAAGAAGAAAAGATTTCTTAATACATTTTTCTCTATACATAAAATTTAAATTTGAAATCTTATTTTAAAAAAATCAAATTTTTTCATTTTAAATCAATAAATTATTGGTCATAGCCCATTTTCATAGTTGTGCATTTCTAAGTTGGATCTCTTATGAAATTAATTATTTTTTTAAGTAATGATCCTGTTTGACATTTGGAAATGAATTGAAGAGGTTTGAGAAAGAGAAGGAAATAAAAATCTGATATATATATATATATATATATCTTACTAAAATTAAATAAATAAGAAAATAAAAGTTTTGTGTGAATTTAAACATTTAAAATATTGAAATGAAATATCCTAAATAAATCCATATAAAAATTATTTGAAAAATACTACAATGAAATATCCTAAACAATTAATATAAAAATTGTTTCAAAAATACTAAAATAAGCCTACATGGCCGTTCCCTGCAAACAATTAAAATGAGGGGTGACCCAGATGAGCTACTGTGGGACTATATATATTGGCATATTGTAGTATCTAAGATGCAAATAATTAAAATAAGAGATAACTTCTAAACGTTTTCCCTTATCATTGTGTTTTCACTTACATTTTTCCATCTATTGGTTTTAGTCTTTTAGATGACTTAAAAATGCTACTCATCAGTATATCATCATCCTCATTATCACCTTCACCATCAATGCTTTCTGTATATGCGTTACTTTCATTTTCAAGAGGGATAATTTATATTTCATTCATGAAAAACACAAAAACATGTAATTAATAACCAATCATGTTGAATATTCAATAGATAAATTGTTTGGTTTTTATTTGAGTTTCATTAACACAGTTAATTATTTAAGAATCAAAACTAATAATTTCATAATATGTCAAACAACTTACCTAATAACACTTTTTTTTATGGACCTTTTTCTTGAAGTATAAGATCAATATCTGTTGTGGACATGGATATGCCCATCCTCTATAAATGAATAGTCAATCAAAAATTATCTTGCAATCAACTTTACATACGTGGATATAAATTTTTTAATTGATGAATTGTCTTGTTAATTAATATCCTTAGACCTGTTGTACATAATACTTAAAAATAAAAACCTATGAACAATAAAATAGCATATACATCATAGAATATAATGTACGGATCGTATATGTGTTAAGACTGAAGTAAATGCATTTTTAAGTAATTTTAGAGTGATAATCAGTTGCTTCTCATTAGTCTCAATAGGAATTTCACCATTGAAAGAATTTAAACAGCAGGACACTGGTTCTGCCGACTTCATAATGCTATTAAAAAGGTATCTGCAACAAATAATATATAAGAAAATATAGATTTAATTAATTATCTCATTCAAAAAGATTACGAAACATATTAACAATATAATTAAAACCATACTAACTTCAGTGCAAATGCTTGCAAAGGAGGCACGGAATCAAACACTTGAGTATCTACAAGCTTGAGTTGTTTTTGATTTTCTGATACCGTCCTCTTGCTCAATTGAGAAGCTGTCCTGGTTTCTCTTAGATGCAACCAATGCAGTAGAAGGTGACAAAGAATGTTGGTTATAAATTGTATTTGAAGGCGCCTGAACTATTTAGAGTTCATATATATTGCGAACAATTATTAAAAAATCACATAATCTGATTATTAAATACAACAATTAAAGTGAATATTGGAACTTACGTTAATTAATGTGATGCCCACAGCACCAAGACCACCATTGATGAGATTTTTTCAATTCATGGGGCTATAGCATCCCAAATTTGTTGGATACATAAGACAATTCTAGAATACGATTTACCTTTTATCAAACCACTAATAGTTTGAGAACTAAGATCCAT